TGGAGCTCTGATGGAGTCAGGACTCAGAGAGACACGAGGAGAGCTGGAGCTTTGATGGAGTCAGGACTCAGAGAGACACGAGGGAGAGTTGGAGCTCTGATGGAGTCAGGACTCAGAGACACGAGGAGAGCTGGAGCTCTGATGGAGTCAGGACTCAGAGAGACACGAGGAGAGCTGGAGCTCTGATGGAGTCAGGACTCAGAGACACGAGGAGAGCTGGAGCTCTGATGGAGTCAGGACTCAGAGAGACACGAGGAGAGTTGGAGCTCTGATGGAGTCAGGACTCAGAGAGACACGAGGAGAGCTGGAGCTTTGATGGAGTCAGGACCTCAGAGACACGAGGAGAGCTGGAGCTCTGATGGAGTCAGGACTCAGAGAGACACGAGGAGAGCTGGAGCTTTGATGGAGTCAGGACTCAGAGAGACACGAGGAGAGCTGGAGCTTTGATGGAGTCAGGACTCAGAGAGACACGAGGAGAGTTGGAGCTCTGATGGAGTCAGGACTCAGAGAGACACGAGGAGAGCTGGAGCTCTGATGGAGTCAGGACTCAGAGAGACACGAGGAGAGCTGGAGCTTTGATGGAGTCAGGACTCAGAGAGACACGAGGAGAGTTGGAGCTCTGATGGAGTCAGGACTCAGAGAGACACGAGGAGGAGCTGGAGCTCTGATGGAGTCAGGACTCAGAGAGACACGAGGAGAGCTGGAGCTTTGATGGAGTCAGGACTCAGAGACACGAGGAGAGCTGGAGCTTTGATGGAGTCAGGACTCAGAGAGACACGAGGAGAGCTGGAGCTCTGATGGAGTCAGGACTCAGAGACATGAGGAGAGCTGGAGCTTTGATGGAGTCAGGACTCAGAGAGACACGAGGAGAGCTGGAGCTTTGATGGAGTCAGGACTCAGAGAGACACGAGGAGAGCTGGAGCTCTGATGGAGTCAGGACTCAGAGACACGAGGAGAGCTGGAGCTCTGATGGAGTCAGGACTCAGAGAGACACGAGGAGAGTTGGAGCTTTGATGGAGTCAGGACTCAGAGAGACACGAGGAGAGCTGGAGCTCTGATGGAGTCAGGACTCAGAGAGACACGAGGAGAGCTGGAGCTCTGATGGAGTCAGGACTCAGAGACACGAGGAGAGCTGGAGCTCTGATGGAGTCAGGACTCAGAGACACACGAGGAGAGCTGGAGCTTTGATGGAGTCAGGACTCAGAGATACACGAGGAGAGCTGGAGCTCTGATGGAGTCAGGACTCAGAGACACAAGGAGAGCTGGAGCTTTGATGGAGTCAGGAGTCAGAGACACGAGGAGAGCTGGAGCTTTGATGGAGTCAGGACTCAGAGAGACACGAGGAGAGCTGGAGCTCTGATGGAGTCAGGACTCAGAGACACGAGGAGAGCTGGAGCTCTGATATCAAACACTGACGGTTTATTTTGAGCTTCGGCCGGAGAATTCACACGACATGTCACGGGCCACGATCTGACCACACGGTAGAGATGCCAAATCAGTTCTGCAGAGCCCTCCTGTAGCTCCAGGTTTTAACTAGTTCAGAGTGTAATAATCAACATTCCTCAATAGAGAGACTAAACAGCTGAGGACACTGAATCACAGTTGTTGTCTTTTATGGCTCGGCGTCATCTCCACCCGGAGAAGGATGTGTTCCAGGTGTCCCACAACAATAACTATCTCTGACCGAGAGCTGCCCGCTCACAAACTGGTAGCAACAACAACTTGCTAGGCTAGCCCCTCCTTCAGGGAGATAGCGGCTGCTCATCTGCGTCAGAGGGCGAGAGGTAACGTGTATACAGAATTATTCCCTGACAATATTTAATTTACAACTCGATATATATTTTTTTACAAATATTACAAATTATGTTAATGTTATTTTCCCCACACGTATCATATGTATTTTTCCCCAATGTTTTAACTGTACTCGACTTTATTCCTTCAAATATTATGATATTTTTATTTTCGAATATTACGACTTTATCTCAAATTCTAACAATTCTTTTATTTTTGTATTTTCTTCTTTTAAAAATAGAAATATGACCCATTTCTTTCCTCCATTTTGGGGCTCCTTTTCCTCTCAAAGAGTGTAACTTTATGCTTCTATATTTCTTTGAAATGTTGACAAAATATACAGACTTTTTATCTCCAAATATAACGATACTATTCCTTTTTACCATTGACATGCACTAAAACATATAAAACACACTACAGGAGAGGGAAAACAGAAAGGGCCTCTTTAATGCGTCATATTTTGAGGATATTGGTGCATTTGTTGTCACCTCCGCTAACAGTGACTCAGCTCAAAGTGACTCAGCGCTCTTCATTGCTTGTTATGGATAATTGTGAGATTGTTTTAAACTCAGTGACTCACCTCGGCTTCATTTGGTTTTCCGTTGGTGTCACAAAACAGTTGAAAGCGCACGTCAGGAAGCAGGATATTAACACCAGCAATGAGTCACTGTTACAACTTTAAAGTAATTAAAGGAGTCTGTTAACTTTCTCCACACTGACTCATCGATGAGGGAAACACCTGAAGCTGGTTCATCCTCAGCGTCTGCACAGGTTGGTTTAATTCATCAGAACAAGTTTAATTAACAACACATGGATATAACTCCTGTGTTCACAAACTGACTGAGGTTATAGTAATATAAGCGAAATGTACTGAAAGTAAATTAAAAGTATCAGTGAACCTAGTGTTTTACTCTCAGGTGTTTTTTGGGGAGATTTAACACATTTTTCGTATTCTTCTCATATATTTTAACAGTTGTTTGACTTCCTCTTTGATCCTCTCTAGGAAACACTCAATTAAAGTGAAATTGTGTGAATGAGTCAGAGTCGGATGCTCGATTCTGATCCTTAGAAAACGTTTTATCTGCTGATGTGGATCGATGAACTCTTCATGCCGCTGCGAGTTATTGTTTAATCGTTTAAACCAGGGGTGTCAAACTCAATTTCATCGCGGGCCACATTCGCATATAGGTTGCACTCAAAGGGCCGGTTGTAACTATATAAATATATATTATATATATATAAAATAATGTATTATATTACATTATTGCCTCTGAATTGGATTATTATCGGATAGGATAATAACTTAGTAATTAACTACGTCTGGAAGCAGAAGTCCAGGACAAATAATTGATAGTCTCTTCAGTGTGCATGTCACAAAACGAGATGCATTGTGGGACATGTAGTTTATGGGCAAATCTGCTTCTGTAAAGTTGCATGTAACCGTATAATAAACGTATTATATTCTTTGCAAGCTCTTGCAGGGCCGGATAAAAATGAAGTTGCGGGCCGGATTTGGCCCCCGGGCCTTGAGTTTGAGACCCCTGGTTTAAACTCAAAGCATTTCTTTATTTCCTGAATGCGTCACGGCAGCTTCATTCAAACTGATTCATGAATAACAAAACCATAGAAGTCACGTTGCTGGTTTTTAATATATATTTATATAAACGTCACAGACTAAAACTTCCACTCTTTACTTATACACACTAAAAATACTCAAAAAATATTTTACAAAAGTTTACAACACGGAGAGAAAACAGACGATATTTGATTTTCACAAGACATTTTGAAGTGCTGAAAATAAAAAAGAGTGCACCATTTAAATCGACACACACACAGCGGACATTCAAAAAGTCACTGCGTTTAAAAAATATATTTTTTATAGCTGTCGGCAAACATTGGGAGATGTACGATAACTAGCGTATTTGTACGATCTTTTATCCCTCTGTATCAATAATGCCCAAAACAAATGCGATACATTTTACGATAAACATCTGTTTTGTAGAATTACACGTTAACCGCTATTATTCTCGTAGGTATTTCCTGAAATACGATAGTTCTGTAAAAAAAAAACGGGTCACGGTAATTTCGTTTTTCGGATTTACTTTTACGATATCTTTAACAATTAATAATTTGATGTCCTGGTTTAAATTCCCACTTGGCAAAGTTAACATGTTTTTCACAATTACAATTTACTTTTGTTTGTCCTACCATATCGACGTTAAAATAAAAATAAAAATCGTATTTCTCAAAGTCCTTTTTTCCGTTGCTTTCAACCATGTTTCCTCATTGAATAGAGCTAGCTCAGTTAGCATGGTTTAGCGTTAAGTATTGTAAATTAAGTAATGTATGCAAAAATGAGGGAAACCATCAATGAAAGCTAGCTAGTAAGTGACTTTTTTTGTGTAATACTCGTGTATTAAATGTTCGTCCAACATGTTCACGAAGAATTTCCCGAATCTTCACACTCATGCGGTATTAAAACTTTGACATGTTTACATTTAGTAACAAAACAACAATTAATACACATTTCTGGGCTACATCACAATCTTACAAACATTTACACCAAGGCACTTCATGCGGATCAGAAAGCTAGCTAATATTTTAAGAGTAAACCCATTAACCACAATCTCGACTGCAGTTAAGACGTTTTTTTTATCCAGTATTTATGTTACCAGTGTAAATAAAATGTAATAAAAACATATCTGGATTTAATCTGAAAAAGAGACATCTGAAAGTGTAAATGTAAGTACGTTCTCACAGTCTACACAATAGGAAAATAGGATTGTCACAGTAGCTCGTATTTACAATATGTACACTCATTTACCACACACACACACACACACACACACACACACACACACACACACACACACACACACACACACACACACACACACACACACACACACACACACACACACACACACACACACACACACACACACACACACACACACACACACACACACACACACACACACACACATATACATCACTTCAGGGGACATTACATTGACTTTCATGCATTTCCTGGAGACTTATCCTAACCTTAACCATAACCAACACATGCCTAACCCTAACCCTAGACCCTAAACCTAACCAAGTCTTCACCCTAAAATTAATGATTCCCCTTATGGGGACCTCCATTATGTCCCCATAAGGGAGGCGAGTCCCCACACGTGACTGTGTAAACAGATTTAGGTCCCCACAAGTATAGTAATGCTAGACCACACACACACACACACACACACACACACACACACACACACACACACACACACACACACATTTATAAAGGATCTTTTTTCATCCAGTGAACGTTTTTGTGCAACTAAACATACAAAAATCCTGGTATTTACTAAATCTTTTTGGTCATCAAACATCAAAACTGTGCATCACAGTGTGTTTAGCTGCATGGATGGTCAATACCGACACAAGTATACATTTTAAGTATAATTTCAGCTGTAGCGCTAACAGATATGTATTTTACCGAATTACTACGGGGGACGAAATGACTTGGATCGTTTTTTTACCTATCAACACTAAAACACGACATTCTTAGCTTATTTTGACGATTTTTAAACTTTTTAAAACTCATCATAAAAGCACAGATACAGTTTTAAATGCGTGGTTAACATTGTGAATTAAAACCTAATTAGTTGGTTAGCTTTATTAAAGGATTGCGGGTTGGGTTAATATAGATATTTGTGTTACGTAAATTAAGTTACGATACGAAATCACAACATACAGACAAGTATAAAAACGTGTTAGCGTTGTGAATTCAAACAAAACTACTTGGTTAGCTTTAGTAAAATACTTTGGGTTAATATAATTTTATACGTACATTTTTAGTTTTTCTCACATTTATCGGACAATATTCGTATATCGGTAAACATTAAAAAAAAACTAACATCAATTTACAAAAATGTTGCAGATATGAATCATTATTTTTCAGGACATTTGACGCTTTACACGTTCCAATAATTAGCGATATCAGACTGTGGCAGGACAGGAGGTACGCGTGTATAATAATGAACAATGAATTGCTTGTTTCGGTATTTTAATGAGATATTGTCCTCGAAGTTTTAACGTTATAAATAATTACAGAAAATATATATTTTGAGGAACCAGTAGAGTTTTTTCTTTTGCTGAACATGAGCTGATTCCTGTTGTTCAGTTTACGGTTTGTGGGGGGGTCAACTCTGACGAAACTCACACAGACGCTGCAGTTTTCACACACACTCACAAAAACACATTAGCTGTAGACTGACCCACACACACACACACACACTCACACACACACACACACACACACACACACACACACACACACACACACACACACACACACACACACACACACACACACACACACACACACACACACACACACACACACACTCGACAGCATTTGGTAGAACATTTGGTAACACAATGCTGTAAATGGTGTCAAATTTCAAAATATAAGCTGCTGGCTGCTCATTAAGTATGTTTGTTTGTGAACATGTGTGTGTGTGTGTGTGTGTGTGTGTGTGTGTGTGTGTGTGTGTGTGTGTGTGTTCTGGCTTGAAGAAATAGGATTATTTTTAAAGTATCATTCATTTTTTTAAAGGTTAAATTGTATTTTTTCGCTTTACTGGTTCTCTGCTACATTTGCTACAACACGGTCCTGTTGGTCTGCAGTGTATTGGTGTGTGTGTGTGTGTGTGTGTGTGTGTGTGTTGTCCAATAGGAAGTCTTTGGCTGTAGTCGAACGGTTAGAAGCCTTCTCGATGACCCAGAAGGATCTAAGATCGCTTCTTTAACTGTGTTTCATTCAGTCTATTGAAGCGGAATAACAAACGCCTCTGAACGCTTTTCACTCCTTCCTGTTTCCTCCTCTTCCTCTTCCTCTTCCTCCCTCGTTCCTCCGACCGCCACCAGCGCCTGCGTCGAGTCGCACGACTGTTTCTCCGCGTCTTCATCGTTGTCGTTGTACGTGGAATCCAACATGGCCACCGTCCTCCTCCTTCCTCCTCTTCCTCTGCAGAGTCTCAGCAGTGCGGCCAAGTCGTGTCTCGCCGCCACGTTGAAGAGGAGGAAAAGAAGCGGGTTTACGCAGGAAGGAAGCGGCGCCACGAGAAGAATCAACGCTTTCACCGCTTCTGGATTGGCAACGGGAAGACGGAGCAACGAGGAAAACGAGAGGAAGGCGACAGGGAGGAAGAGGAGGCAGTCCGAAAAAAGCAGCCATGCGACATGTCGAGTAAACGATGCTTCTTCTTCTTCTTCTTCTTCTTCTTCTTCTTCTTCTTCTTCTTCTTCTTCTTCTTCTTCTTCTTCTTCTTCTTCTTCTTCTTCTTCTTTTTCTTCTTCTTCTTCTTCTTTTTCTTCTTCTTCTGTGGTGGTGGTGGTGGTTTGTGGAGTTTTCTCCGGGCGGCAGTAGAGACGAGTGTAAGCGAGCGTCATGAGGAGGAAACACAACGAGTCCAGGAGCACCAGGGAGACGGAGAACACCAGGGAGGAAAAGGAGGAAGAGGAGGAAGAGGAGGGAAGAGGAAGGCAGAGAGAGGAAGTACTGTGACCGACCACCAGGGGGGGGAGAGTGACGAAGAGTCCAAACAGGAAGCAGGAACAGATGGAGAGACGGAGGGTGAGCGGTGGCGAAAAGCGACCTGTAGAGAGGAAGGAGAAATATTAAACAATACCGTATTTTATTCATTTTGATCGTACACGTCTTTTTGCTGCTGCAACGCAAACATTTCCCAAATTGGAATCAATAAAGTATTTCTTATCTTATCGTATGCTTTTCTCTGACTGCTTACAGACGGTCTTTTTGGGCTCGCCATCTTCTCACATTAGACTCAGTAACACCATATTTCTTCGCTGCTCGACAGTTGTTTGATGACTCTGCTTCGTTGATCACCATTGTCTTAAAATTGGCATCGTAACTTCGCCTCTCTTGTTTATTAACTTGCTACGTCGCCAATATTTTCAAAGTTCCCACTATTCCCTAGTTCATCTCAAACCACAGTATTCCTAGAGTCCCCACAACTCCCTAATGTCCAACTATTCTTAGAGACCCAATATTCAGTGCCGATTCTAGAGTCGGTGGGGGCCCGAGGCAAACATTCACTGGGGGCCCCTCGAACCAGTTCCCCCCCCCCGAGCGGAGCAAGGCAACAAAACTTAAGATAATAAGCAGCATTTTATGGCGCGCTGTGCATGGGGCCGCCTTGAGGGGGTTTCCCGACATGTCGTTGCAGTTAATTAAAGGGTGTTTCATGTTGTCGTTGCTGTGGACCTTCTTAATATACCTTCTTTGGGGGCCCCCTTCTGGTCCGGGGCCCCCAAAGCAGTTGCCTGCCATGCCTGTCCGCAAGCGGCGGCCCTGCCAATATTCCCGCGTACACACACTGCAGTACTCGTGAAGTCCCCACAATATACACAGTATTCCCAGAGTCTCTATAACCATTAGTTTCAAAGGATTCCTGTCTTATATTCGGGTCAATACGGTAATGTAACTAAATGATCTCTTTGGTGAATGTGTGTGTGTTTTCCTCACCGTTGTGTCCGTCAGGTTTGTTTCGGGATGAGGCGGCCGTGCAGCGCTCCAGAGCTGCGACAGTGAGCAGGAAGAGTCCGGTCTGAGAGGCGAACACACACAGGAAACCACTGAGGCGACACAGGAAGCTGCTCTCCCAGCGCGCTCCGTACCTGAAGCACAGAGAACAGGAACTCTTATTTATTGTGAAAATCCGTTTTTTTATGGAGTTAGAGTTTGTCTTTTTGGGGGGATTTTCTCAAGAGTCCCCACTATTCCAAGAGACAAAGAAGGGAACGTTTACACATTTTAACTTCGAAAGGCCACTTAAAAAGAGCAGTTTTACCTGAGTCCCCAAAAATTCCCATAGTCGCCAATATTCAAAAAGTTCCAAAAAGTTCCAATATTCCAAAAGTTCCAATATTCCAAAAGTTCCAAAAAAGTTCCAATATTCCAAAAGTTCCAAATATTCCCAGAGTCCTTACTATTCCATGATTCCCCACTGTTCTAAGAGGTCCCACTATTCCCAGATCTCCACTATTCCCAGAGTCCATCTCAAACCGCAGTATTCCCGGAGTCTTCAATATTCCATGTGCCTCCACTATTCTAAGAGTCGTCAATATTCCCAGAGTTCCCAATATTCCCAGAGTTCCCACTGTTCCCAGAGTCCATCTCAAACCACAGTATTCCCAGCGTTCCCAATATTCCCAGAGTTCCCTATATTCCCAGAGTTCCCCACTATTCCCAAGGTACCTGCTATTCCCAGAGTTCCCAGAGTCCCCACAATTCCTAGAGTCCCCAATATTCCCAGAGTCCCCACAATTCCTAGAGTCCCCAATATTCCCAGAGTCCCCACTATTCCTAGAGTCCCCAATATTCCCAGAGTCCCCACTATTCCCAGAGTCCCCACAATTCCTAGAGTCCCCAATATTCCCAGAGTCCCCACAATTCCTAGAGTCCCCACTATTCCCAGAGTCCCCACTATTCCTAGAGTCCCCAATATTCCCAGCGTTCCCAATATTCCCAGAGTTCCCTATATTCCCAGAGTTCCCACTATTCCCAAGGTACCTGCTATTCCCAGAGTTCCCAGAGTCCCCACAATTCCTAGAGTCCCCAATATTCCCAGAGTCCCCACAATTCCTAGAGTCCCCAATATTCCCAGAGTCCCCACTATTCCCACGTACACACGCTGTAGTACTCTTGAAGTCTCCACAATACACACAGTATTCCCGGTCGGAACAAACCTCACAATCTTCCGTATTCCCAGAGTCTCTATGACCTTGAGATTCCAAGGATTCCTTAATAATAAAAAATGTTTTTTTTACCTCCAGAAGTTTCCGAAGGTCCAGGCGTCGACGGCCGCCAGCCAGCCGCTCCAAACTCCCATCAGGCCGTTCACCAGAGCCAGCAGACCAATCAGCAGCTTGGGGGGGGTTACCGAGGCAACGGGGGAGAAGAAGATGGACAGGACGACCAGGCTGTTGCTAACCAATGAGAGCGCAGCGATCAGCCACACCCCCAAACGGACCAACCAGCTGCCCAGAAGGTGGAGGCAGGGGCGGAACGGACCTGAGGGGAAATAATATGTCAGTTTGGTAAATAAATGTATATCTTAAAATAGTGAATTAAAATCTCTAAATAGTGAATTAATATCTCAAAATAATGACTTAATATAAAGAAAATTGA